GTTAACAACAAATCTTAAGAAATTGAACAACTTAAATGTTGAAATTTTTTTTTGGGGGGGGTTAAATTCTTTAGATTTTAGGGTATTCCATTTTAAAATGTGTATGACGAGGCAGTAAAGGAAAGCAAGAAGAAAGGGCTAAACATTAATTGCAAGAAAACAGAATGTATGGTTGTCAGCAAAAGAAACAGCCTAACATGGAAAATATAAATTTTAGATACCAAAATCCAGCAATACAAAAATTTAAATATAGTGAAATTGTTTTAACAGAGGATGGCAAGTGCGACAATGAAATTCAAAGGCTCATTGGGATAGCGAAAGATGCCTTCCAAAAGCTAAACAGAGTATTAAGGAACAAGAAAAAAAAAATGAGAACTGAGTTGTTATATAATATATGCACGATATAGCAATTAATGTTAGGCAATCTCTTAAATGACGAAGAGCATTGAAGCAACAGAAATGTTGTTCTACATAAAGATACTGAGAATGTGAGCAACGACGAATTTTGAGGTAAAATGGAAACCAAAAGTACAATTATGCTTAAAAGAAGGAAGATAGAGTTGAAATTTATAGGGAACATCATGACGAGAAGAAAAGGCTTGGAAAATGTGATACTCACAGGACAGATTGAAGTCGAGAGGGACAGAGGAATACAACACATACGATAACGAGGAAAGAGGGCTTGGAAAATTTGATACTCACAGGACAGCTTGAAGGCGAGAGGAACAGAGGAAAGCAACGCATAACCGAGTTTGAGTAAATGAATGACGGAACAATGTTTAGGAGAGATAACAAAAAGACAAAATTTATTAAGAGCTAGAAATGTAGGAAATTGTGGAGAGTCACGATCGCCAAAGCTCTGAAAGGAAACGGCATATAGAAGAATTAACAGAATTTTTCTTTTTTTTTAATTGTTGTTCAATCAATACAGTACCCAGGAGCCACTCAAAGTAGAGGGTTACTGAATGGCGAGGTTGTAAGGGCGTGTATAGGGATGGAGAAAGAGTCACATAAGATAAGGATATTTAGAATACTGACTATTGACTTGAATAAGTTAATATTATTAGTGATCAGTGATGCACAACCTTAGGAGTTTGTTCCACGTTTCAAGAGTTCTATGGAAGAAGTTAAGTGGAACTTATACCTTACTAATGGTAAGGAATGAGAATGCGTTGTCTTAGTTTACGTGACATGGTCATCCTATTTGTAAAGGTCAGGACAGGTAAAAACAAAGAATATAGTTCACCTGAAACTTTAAAAATGAGACATTTGTCTTGTGTGATTATTAGTGATAGGTTTGGTTTATTTTGTTTTACGGCATATCAACCGCAGTGGGTTATTTAATGCCGACAATTTTTTTTTTATTGCTGCTAATATTTAAAAAAAAAATATTGCTGGTAATATTTCTTTTTTCGAAAATTTATTGCTGATATTAAAATCTATTTTTACACATTTTGAACCCAGTTTGGGGGTTAATTATTTGCCCATAGTTGTGACCCTAACGGGTGCTACCACCCCGGGTCAAGGTGGACATGGGAACACCAGCAATTAAGAGGTGGTTCCACGCTCCTTAAAACCTCCTGATTAGAGGCGTTGATGCCGGATGTAGTTTATCGTCATACCAAGGACGATTAGCGATAGAGTAAACTAAATGAAAAGAATGTAAAGTAATATTGGTGTTCGTGGGAGTTTCCTCCTATAGGAGATTGGAATAAAATTACGACCAATTTATATTATGAAATAAGAACAGATTGTCTTTCCATTAAGCATTGTGTGCGTGTGATTTTCCATTAACTTATGTAATATATATATATATATATATATATATATATATATATATATATATATATATATATGAAAGACTAAACGTAAAGTGCTCAATTCACTAATTAGAGCAAAAACTCTATATATATATACATACATATATATATATATATATATATATGTGTGTGTGCGTGTGTGTGTGTGTGTGTGTGTAATATATATATATATTTAGCGAATCGGTAGCAAATTATGCATCGAAAAATAATTCATATTTATCTGTATCTCACTCATTTAAACCGTCATTTAACTCCTCTCTTTAAAACTTCTCTCTGTTAAATTTTAATCCCCACTTTCACCTTTAGTTCTTCCTTTTCTTCTTTCTTCTGTTACACCCTCTCTCCAGAGTTTTCATACATTTCTCTCTCACACTTGTTTCCCCCTCCCACACATACACTCTCACTAAAATTTTGCTTTCTATACCCGGAGTTATATTTTCCGATTTCTTTTTGAATTTGTAGGTCTGATGAATTGGATCGTGATTATGATTCCAATGTAATAAATTATAACCATGGAATATTAGCGTTTGAGTCTTTTTTTCATTATATTATTACTCTGTCCAGGACACTGAGTTCTACCTGGATTCTATCCTGTTGGGAATTTATATATATTTATATATATATATATGTATATTGACCACTAATATTATCTCTCTCTCTCTCTCTCTATATATATATATATATATATATATATATATATATAAGCTTTTCACCCCAAGCAAGGCGGAAGTGCCATTAGCACGCAAGATGTTACAGAGAGAGAGGGAGCAAGCGTAAAGAGGCCTGATAGAGGAAAAGGAAAAAGAGAAGGACACGGGGAATTGAATAATTGAAGATTATAGCCATCAGGGAAGTAATTAAAAGGAAGGTAGTTCTACAGACGGGAAGCGCAAGACATGAACCTATTGGAGTAGAAGAGACGGCTGCATTTAACAGTTTGGACAGCGAAAGGGTGGGAAGAGATGCCAACCTAGTAGCACGCTTAAATACATGCAGTTTGGGAACCAGCTCGTCGGAGCAGTTACCGTGAAAGTATTTGTAGAAAAGACAAGGGGGAGCGACGGTACGTCTGTGAGAAAGTGACTGCAGGGGAGATGCCAGATCAGGACCAATCCCATTGCATATCCGTCTTTGGATTTTGTCGAGACGAACAGCGTGGTTTCCAGACCATATATGGCAGCAGTATTCTCTGCAAGGGTGAATGCTTGATTTATAGTGCATGAGCAAGTCACTAGTGTACGTAAGTGGCTTACATATATTTGTGCCATTTCATGTATACACAAGCGTACGCACACGTACATAATTTGATTGAGTTTTAAACATGACATTGGAATAATTCATTCCTCTCACATAATAACACCATTATTTTTTTAAACTTAAAAGATAATAATAGGATTTTATTGAATATATATATATATATATATATATATATATATATATATATATATATATCGAATTACTGTCGAATCCATTACATTCATTTACATACTCTTGGGAAAGGTGTGAATCCTCCTCTTCATCCTCCAGCTATGGGTAAATATCAGGATTAACTGGGTTCTATAGCCTTGGATGGCAACTAGTCTAGGAGCAGGACAATTCTGAATTCAAAACCTGCGGAGGTTCGTTTACACGTAGTGCACCAAGTCTCTGTATTCGGCCATTCAAAAGTGTGGATGGTTGTGCACAAAACCTTCACCACTATAATCAAATATCATGTGCTGGTGAATTGATCTGTTTGACCCTCATACGTCGAATTCGACGGGAGAGTCGAGTACATATATATATATATATATATATATATATATATATATATATATATATATATATATATATAAGTATATATATATGTGTCCTCCTGATTGGTCATTTCTCTTACCGATCGTTATTAATGTTTCTGTTCCTAATTCTTACACACCCAGTAACCCCTTGTGTCTTAGTAGCTTTACTGCCTTGTATAGGGTGCAACCAATTAAAAAAAAGAAGTTAATTCAAGCACAGGTTGAGAAAAGAAAGTGTATATATTATGCGGTTCATAAATTTGATTTCAAGTTGAAAAGTCCTCTTTCACGAATCGATATAAATGTGGGAGGAATAGATCCTTACTCGCATTATCAATTGGCAAGAAAGAGGCTGAAGGAGGAAGGGAGGATGGAGATTAATTTATTAAATCATAATTGAGATAGATAATTTCTTCGTGCAATCTAATTAAAACAATGGCGTTTTATTTCATTTTGTCTCAATTTAAATTTTCAAAAATGGCTTCGTGACTTTTCTTGCCAGATAAGCGCGGTCTCAACTATATTTAGCTTATTGACAAATGTCATTTAAAAAAATAAAAATAAAAGCAATACCTTGGATATGATAGTGACAAAGAAGGAAAACATTTGTTGACAGTGATCCATCTTTATAAACAGTTTAATTCTATACACAATATCCAACATCCCATGAGGCTCACTGGTCTGTTTTCCTTGTTGGAAATAGCCTTCAGCTGAAAGCGTCCGAATCAATCAAATTCCAGCCAATCAGCTTACTACTTTTACAGGTCATTTAAAACTCATTCCCTCTTCCACTGGGACGAGAAAATTCTCATTTGATAAAATGTTTTAAAAGGTCAAGAATTAAACTAAGGAAATTAATCTCATCCGATGTGTGCAAAAAGAGGTAAGGAATATATTATTTGTATATGAAAGAGGGTAAAGAGAAAAAGAAGAGACGAAGGGTAGGAGATTAATGGAGAGAGAAGAATGTGAGAAGGAAGAAGAAACAGAAAGAACGGAGCAAGAGACAGGAAGAAAAGAAGGGGGTGGAGGAGCGAAAGAGGTGGAGGAATAATTATATGAGAAAAAGGATGATGACAAGTGTATGAGAGAGAGAGAAAGAGAGAGAGAGAGATGTGAAAATAAAATAAATAATGATGTTAAGAGAGCAAATACACGAAATAGATAGATAGATAGATAGATAGATAGATAGATAGATAGATAGATAGAGAGATAATGATGTGAAATTAAAATGAATAATGATGTTAAGAGAGCAAATACACGAAATAGATAGAGAGAGAGAGGGAGAATGGGGATGATAAAAAAAGGAGATGAACGGATAGAGAGAGAGAATGGAATAATAATAATAGTGAGGGGAGAATATGTATAATGAAAAGGGATGTGATAAATGAGATATTTAGAATTAAGAGTAATAATAATGTTTAAAAAGAGAGAAAGAAAAAGATGAACGGAGAAAGATAGTGAGAGAGATAGGGAAGATAAAAAGGAAGAGATAAATAGGAAGGAAGAGGGGAAGAACGTGGGACGAGATCAGAATAGAATAGCAGTCATTAATGTTGTAAGGATAAATAGAGATAATGATGAAAAGAGAGGAGGGTAAAGAGAGATAGAAATAAGAGCAATAAAAGTGCAGTTTAAAAGAGAAAGAGAAAGAGAGCAAGAGGGAGAAAAATGAATGGAGTGCGGCAGAAAGGAAAAGATAGGAAGGAAGGGAGAGACAAGGGGGGAGGGAGAGAGAGAGTGGGAAAAGATATGAGAGAAAAAAGACGTATGTGAAATAAGAGTTGAAATCTGCGATAATGAATAGAATAATGGGAAAGTTAAAAGGGAGGTTAGAAGAGAGGGAGAAAGAAAGCGAGAGCGATGCGAGGAAGAGAAAAATAAAAAAAAAAGAAATAAAGAATAGAAGGAGAGGAGGGGAAAGCGGAACGAAAGTGAACGAGCAAGATTGACAGTTTGTGTATGAGAAGCAGAAATAGTTGGGAAGACAAAATATGGAAGCCAAATTAAGAGATTTTAGTGTGTGAGCGCCGGGCATAAGTAGAGAGAGTACATATGTGCATGAGTGAGGAAAGGGAGAGAGAGAGAGAGAGAGAGAGAGGAAGAAAGTGGGAATTGAAGCAAGGAAGTATGTGCGTGTGTGTATATATGTGTACGTGGTTGTGAGAATATACAAATTGTGCGAGAACCAAAATAGATAACACAGAATGTGAGAAATTAAGATAGATAGATAGATAGAGAGGGAGAGGGAGAGAGAGAGAGAGAGAGAAGAAGAAGAAGAAGAAGGCAGAGATAAAGAAAAAGAGGGAAAATTAGAGAAAGGGATAATAAAGTGTGAGTAATAAATGGGTCATGTGGAATGCTTGATATATATATATATATATATATATATATATATATATATTAATTGATTTAAAATATGTTTTTTTTTTCACACAGTTCTAATCATGTTTCAAAATGGAAGCTAAAAGCCCTGAATTTAATTTTGTGATTAAATTAAAGACATTAGTTCCATTTCATCCTCAAGCGAATTTTGGAGTAACTTTTTAAAATTACTGGGTTTTAAATACACAGCTAAAACAAAATTCATGCTTCAAAGGTTACAGATAAATCTATTTTTCTAGACAGGGGTGACTGGGTTTTCAATATGTCTATAATTTAATGTATCAGTTATTGCTACGTTTGGGTCGTGGGAAGCGATGTATTTTTCAATGAAATCTAACTTCCGTTAAAAGCCTCTGTCGTTTAGATTTTTTTAAAATTATATTGTTAACGGCTAAAATTCTTACGGCATTTTTTTTCTTTCGTATATTTAAAGATTTTTTTGGGGGGGTTGTTTAGGTAAGAATACATTTTATTTAAGTACAATTTGAAATATTTTTACTTTTAATTTTTAATATACTATATTTCTTTCAAGAACAATTAAATGTAATTAGAATCCCTTACAGTTTGTAGAATAATTATCACATCAAGTATATTACGATTTTTTAAAAATTTTATATTTAAATATTACTAAAGTAAAATTTTCATTTCTCTGATTTAGTAGACTTTATTTATTTATTTAATTACAATTAAAAAGAAGTTTAGGTTAGAATTCATTTTAATTAACTACAGTTTTAATTACAACTTTAAAATATTTTCATTACTAGTTTTAATAGACTATATTTCATTTAATAGAAGTAAAATGTATCAGAGTTACTTACCGTCAGTAAAATTATTTTTCTTTTTCAAGTATATTTATATTACGATTTTTAAACATTTTATATTTAAATATTTTTAAAGTAAAATTATTTATCTTTACGGCATATATATATATATATATATATATATATATATATATATATATATATATATATATATACGAGTTCAGGATTGGTATGGATGAAATAAAATTCAGATAAGCAAAAACCATTATTTTTAAAGAAAGTGCTCAATACAAAGTAGAACAAATAATATTTATTCAAAAATTATAACATTTTGTTTCAAAACTTCTAGTGTCTTATCAAGTGATGGCTATTTTTGTTTTGATTTTATAACATCCTTTTATCATAATTTTTGAATAGATATTATAAATATATATATATATATATATATATATATATAAAGAGAGAGAGAGAGAGAGAGAGAGTACGTGTATGAGAGTGAGTGAAAGAAAAACAAGAGAGAGAAAGATAAAATGTTTTGTTAGAAATGAAGGAACAACGATGAGGTTATGAGAAATGGATAGATAGTAAAAAAAGAGAGAGGTAGGATAAAGAAAAGACAGAAAGAGAAAGAGAGAGGATAATTGGGTGAAAGTTAATTGGATGATGAAGTGAGTGTGCGATAAAAATAAAATAAGAAATATAAAAGAGAGAGAGAGAGGAGAGATGAATTAATCGCTGTATTAAAACAAAAGGAGCTTGTTCACACTATTTTCATTGTACTCATCTTTATTTTCATATTAACGACGTTTCGGCCGTTTTACGTTCCGCCCTTCTTCAGGTGATATACATTGGAATTTTGAACCAAACCCTTTATTTCGTCCACATGAGTAGATTGTTCTAATTTCATACCTTTCCTGGATATCTCAATTTCAGCCACGACCCAGTTGATAAAAGCGTTGGTTGAAGTAATCCTGTGACTTGACCCCAAAAGTTGTGAGTTCAATACCTGGTCGCAGCAGAGGTGAACAAAACTTGGTGAGTTGAATTACTAAAGGAAAATGGAAAGCCAAAAGAATTATTAGAGACGCTACTTGGTTTCATTAAAAAGAAAGAAAGAAAGATAGAAGGTTTAACATCACCTGCTAATACCTCATAAATTACAGACTACTATTCGTTTTGATCGCGTGAGAAAACAAAAGACATCGAAGACGCGACTTGGTTTCAGTGAGAAAATAAAAGAAAGGTAGGAAGATAGAAGTGTTTAACGTCTGGTTCAGTGAAATGAAAAAAAAAACTTAATAGCCTAGTGTTGATTCGTGAATTTGGTGATATAATAATTGCGAGTTCAATCCCTGAAATTGGCAGTGCAAATAATAACGGCACAGTGCTAAAAATAAGAACTTTATGAGACGTCTCTAGATATTACCAGAGGAACGAGAACAGTCTACCTTCGTACATCGAATAAAGAGGTTCAGTTCGGAATTCCTTGCAGGTTACGCGGATAGATATACAGCTGATGAAGGCCCGAGGTCACATCCGCCGAAACCTTTTGATAACAACAATGATGAGAACTGTAGTACGAATCAGAGAGCCGAGTTCGAATTCCAGCCGAATCCATAACATTCACTTACGTACTAATACCCTTGGAAAAGGTATGAATTCTCTTCTCAATTTATGGGTGAATAGCAGAACAGACCGGGTTCTATAGTCTTGGATGGCAACTGGTCTAGAAAGAAATGGCAACCTCTCGCGAAAAAATCTGCCTCGTCAGTCATGTATCGAAAGATACATGATCGCTTAAGCGTGTATCACGCATGGCACATAACTAACTGATTATATAAATATTGAGTGGAGGGACGGTGGAGTAATGGATAGCGGTTCGGATTGAGGAATCGGAGAGCCGAGTTCGACTTCCTGTCGAATCCATTATATTCACATATGTTCTAATACCCTTGGGAATGGTATGAATCCTCTTCTTGTCCCGCCAGCTATGGGTAAATAGCAGAATAGACCGAGTTCTATAGCCTTGGATGGCAACTAGTCTAAGAAATGGCAACCTACTGCGGGAAAAAAATCTGCCTCGTCAGTCATATATCGAAAGATACATGATCGCCTAAGCGTGTATCACGTATGGCACATAACTGATTGATGCATGATTGTGTGGTATGCTAGAAAGACACAAAGATTTTCCTTTTCCAACGTTAAAATCCCTACATCCATATCGTTTCTTCGTTGGATGAGACAAGATGCTACTACACACAGTGAATTTGCATTAATATCTTATTCATATTTACTAGAAAGACCCGAGGAAAAATTCACGGTTTTTTTTATTTTAATACTATGATGAATCTTAATTCTTAAGTTAATGACTGAGTAAGCTAATGGCGAGTTTTACGGCAACAACTTATACGTAGAATTTTCCCTATGGCTTCGTTAAATATTTGAGCTTTTGAACTTTAACAAAATCTTGCTTTAGCAATCATGAACATCTATGCTGTGGCGCTTCAACGTGATGTAATGGTTAGCAAGCTTGTCTTGCTAGATTAATTACGATTGAGTAGTGAGTTGGATCGTCACTGGGTGCCCCATACTTTCATGCTTGTGCCAAGCTTAGAAAATCACAACAGATATGAATGCTGATCATTATTTTAAGAAGATTTGAAATTGACAAGTTTTTCTATTTCACAAGTAACATCCAAGATATTGTGTTTTGTTTATCAAAACGGAATACTCCAATATTTATGAGGTATTGGCAGGAGACGTTAAACACTTCTATCTACCCTTGTTTGTTTGTTTCTTTCAGTCATATGTATTTTCTATGCAATCAAAATGGAATAGTCCAATATTTATGAGGTATTGGCAGGAGACGTTAAACACTTCTATCTACCCTTGTTTGTTTGTTTCTTTCAGTCATATGTATTTTCTATGCAATCAAAATGGAATAGTCCAATATTTATGAGGTATTGGCAGGAGACGTTAAACACTTCTATCTACCCTTGTTTGTTTGTTTCTTTCAGTCATATGTATTTTCTATGCAATCAAAATGGAATAGTCCAATATTTATGAGGTATTGGCAGGAGACATTAAACACTTCTATCTACCCTTGTTTGTTTGTTTCTTTCAGTCATATGTATTTTCTATGCAATCAAAATGGAATAGTCCAATATTTATGAGGTATTGGCAGGAGACGTTAAACACTTCTATCTACCCTTGTTTGTTTGTTTCTTTCAGTCATATGTATTTTCTATGCAATCAAAATGGAATAGTCCATTATTTATGAGGTATTGGCAGGAGACATTAAACACTTCTATCTTTCTTTCACGCTTTTTCCCCTCTTTCCATGTGATCAAAACTGAATATTTATAAGACAATGGCAGGGCATAACGGTCGTGCTAACTAACGAAAGGAAGAACAAGTACAATTATAATAGAACGATTGTTATTGCAATTTTTTGTTAAAGTTGTTAAACTCAAATATTTAATGATGCATATAGGAATTTCTACGGATAATTTATTGTAGAACTAGTCATGAGGTTATTCGATCATTAACTGAAGAATTAAGATTTATCAGAAATTTCAAATAGGAAAATCGTGAAAAGTGGCCACTGGGATACCTATGGAATGTGGGAAAGGTAAAGGTTGATACTTGTGTGAGAATAAAATGGCCGACTAGTAGCCTGCGGGTGATGAGAAAAGGAAGAAAGTGATAATAACTGCATGGGAATAAAGTGGTTAATTAAAAGCCTATTCTAGTTGAGAAAGGCAAGAGAGTGATAATTTTGTTAGAATGAAAGAGTTAATGAGAAGCTTGTCGAACGTGAGAAAGGGGAGAGAACGTGAATAATTGCGTGAGAATAAAATGGCTAATTAGAAGCTTATGAAAGATGAGAAAC